AAGATTCACGTAATCTTTCTATTTTGTTTCAACTTTTTATTTTTATTCTTTTCCTTTCTTTACTTTCAACACCCCCATAACTTAAATTATGCACTAATTAATGAAGGAAAAATGACCTTTTTTTTATCTTGGGCCCAAAATACAAATTAAAACCAAAAGTTTACTTTAACTCTTTTTCTTTATAGAATTTGACCTACACCTATTCAATTCTAAATCATCCTTCCACCCTCAATCCAACACATCATATTAATAACTTCACACTACACAAATCATTCAAATATCAATCATATGTTCCACTTAATCAATAATAACATTAAATAATATACATAATAATTATAATTTTAGAAAACAATTAATCATCAAACATCAATTATCAAATAATAATGTCCAAGTCTCATCCACATTATTTCCTAATTACCACAATTTCCTAGCGTCTTACAATTGAAGTCACCAAAAACCAAATGCATATGAAATCTCTATTGGAAAGAGCTTTGATTAAGGCTTGTGATGATCTCATTGCAAAAGAAGAAGGAAATGTAAAAGATGTGGTAAAATAATTAGAAAAGTTTCAAGAAGAATCTACAGTTGTTGAAGAAGAAAAGTTGTTGAAGAAGAAAAGTTGTTGAAGAAGAAAAGTTGGTAAAGAAAAAAGTTGAAGACAAAAACCAACTGAAGTTGAAGTTGTTGTCAACACACCTCAAATATGTTTTTCTATAAGAGAGAGTAAAGAAGTTGGTGATCAATAATTCTTTATCAAACACCTAAGAACAAAAATTGGTTGCAATTTTGAAAGCAAATAAATAAACAATTGGATGACACATCTATAATTTGAAAGGGATAAGTCCATCATATTGCATGCATAAGATAATGCTAGAGAAAGATTACAAACCTATCACACAACCACAACGAAGACTAAATCCAATCATGAAAGAGGTGGTGGGAAAAGAGGTACGTAAGTTGCTTGAAGCGAGTATGATCTATCTTATCTTTGATAGCATTTTGGTTAGTCTTGTGCATGTAGTTCTAAAGAAAGGAGGAACGACTGTCATTCATGATGATTAAAATGAGTGGATTCCAACAAGGAGAGTCATTGAGTGGAGAATGTGTATCATTTATACGAAGCAAAACCAAGCCACTCGAAAGGATCACTTTCCCTTACCTTTCATAGATCAGATGTTGGAAAGGTTAGCATGACAGACTTATTATTATTTTCTTGATAGTTACTCGGACTGTAATAAGATTGTGGTGAATCTTGAGGATCAAGAGAAGACTACATTTACTTTTCCTTTTGGCGTGTTTGCTTATAAACGAATTTCATTTGGTCTTTGCAACACACTAACCACTTTCGAGAGGTGTATGTTTGCTATCATTTTGGATTTGTTATAGAAATGCATTAAAGTCTTCATGGATTACTTCTTCATATTTGGTTCATCTTTTGATCTTTGTTTTAAGAATATTGAGACATGTTAAGACAAGATTGTCTATAAGACTGAACTATCTAAACATGCTCATAAGTTTTGAAGTTTAACAAACAATAATAAACGAAACGAGCATAAGACATAGTGTTATCATTAGAAAATAAATACAACTAAAATATAAGTGATTTGAAAAAAAGCTTTGTGAAATCTAAATACCTTGAGAAAACTTTAGCAAACACACAAATACATGAACAAACACACCACTAAACAGTCTCCCTATTAAATGCATCAATGAGAGTCTTGTTCAATGCAACTAGTGTTATACATTGCTAAACAATGATTAAACAAACTCTCAACATGTCTTGATAGATAAAAGTTTCAAAAGATGTTTTTTGGAATGTGCGCCAAAAGTCTTAAACGATGATCCAAAATCTTATGTTGAAAGGCACCTTGCTAAACGTGTTTTTGAACGAAATAGAGAAAACTTAAAAAAACGTTTACATAGGTTAGATGATACCATGTGCCAAACGATCTCCTTCATCCAACAATGAAGTCTTCATTAACTACTTGGTATCTTAGTGAAAAGATTAATCGATCAAATCTTGCCTAAATGATAGAATACGTGAAAAATTCTATGTTTTTCTAAACATGCATTAAATGTCATTAAATGCACATCGTTTAAAAACAACAAAAGTGATAAGAAAAAAGACATATATTTTTGCATGAATATCTACTCTACTCTGTGCAGATTATCTATGTCAAGTATCCACCTACTTCATCTTATACAAATCAAAAGTGGACGTTAGAGACTAAAATACCATTCATGGAATGTTCTCTCTATCAAAAGTCGCGTCAGAAAGTTCGTACAACCTAATTTTGATAAAGAACTGAATAAACATGCATGTTTTGACAAGTTGATTTTAACCAACGAATGTTACCTACGACAAGGCCAAGAAGATCCAAAGATCAAAGCAAAGTACTATCTAACGAACATTTTCTTAAAGCCTATATATTGAAGACCCTTGAAGAAAAGATAAAGAGAATACGCACACGAATACGAAAGAAATCATTTGAGAAGAAAAGCAAGTTTGAAAGAAAAGAAAATACTTTGAAGCTTCATAGAATCATAAGCTTACATTTGTTAGAAGATATAGAACTCTAAAAAGGTTGTTAAGTTGAATTATATTGTAAACATATTCTCTTTGTGAGAGTGATCGTCTAAGGACTTGTAAGCGATATGATTAATTGCACATTCTGAAGAAAATAGAAACACTTAACGATTAACTCGGTAGAGTTAAATGATAGCTAGACGAGTTTGTCTAGTGGAAACCAGGAGTGGATGAAACTCAACTAGATAGCGTATAAGGAAGATACTAGGATTGTCTAGGGATACCAGGAGTGGTGAAGAATACTACACAACCATGAGTAGGTGATACTGGGTTCTAGCTAGAGTAACGAGGGTTATTGGATTGACTAGGTGACATCAAGAGTGATGTGAATACTCAATTGTAAGCTTGTTGAAGATTATAGTGGAACCCTCTAAGAGGTCTTATGAATTGAAGCCTAAAGTTATATATTTTTTATCTCATCTGGACATGCTACGTTTAAAGAACCAAAGCATAATCTCCAAAATAACCGGTTCAAAAGTCTTTACATGTACTAGTATAAAGACAACATTATGACAGAGTTTTACCCTTCATAAAAGACAATAGCTCATATATATATATATATATATATATATATATATATATATATATATTACAATTATCTATGGATACGTGATTAAAAAGATGACCAGCCATGATTCATGTTCTAATTCTGTTTGGTGACTCTCTCATTGACAGCTATCGTGTGATGGACGAAAGGACAGACAA